AACACCTCCCTAAAAAAAATACCAAAAAATAAAAAAAAAAAAAAAACAAAAAAAAAAAAAAAAAAAAAAAAAAAAAAAAAAAAAAAAAAAATAAAAAAAAAAAAAAAAAGAAAAAAACAAGGATAAAGAGGTGATTTAGAGAAATTCAGGTTGGTTCTGCACATGTGAGAGAGTGTGGGAAAACATTGGTTGCCAGGGAAATGGTGCCCGAGAAGTCCCCGTGGGCTGCCTGGAGTGCTTTGTTTTGGATGTTAGAGATGTGGCTGTAGCACAAAATCTGCAACACAGAATTATCCCCCCTCAACACAAAGCCATTCAAGAAGGAAAACCTAAAATTTTCTCATGCTGGAAGCGGGTTGGTTGTATGGCTTGAGGGTTTTTTCCATCTTTATTTCTACGGAATGCAGCTGATGCCACCAAAGCTGCTTCTTTCACCGGGGCCTCGTCTCTCCCAGGGTCCCAACCTGCTGTGCCCACTCTGCTGTCCAGCAGGTGACCACAGGTCACTTGTCCAGGTGGCTCTTTACCCTCAGATCTGTTCAGGTGTTCAGGCCTGGAAAGGACTGGACATTCCATTTTCCCTGCAGAAGAAGCCTGGAGGTGAAGGGAACTTGCAGGAGGTTTTTAAAATTATTTTCAGTCATTTGCTTTTAGCAAATGTAGATGTTTAATATTCATACTGCACATTTTGCAGCTCTGAGAGAGACATTTATGCATTTAATAGCTTTAGTTAACAGTTATTTTGGGCTCCTGCTGTTCCAGCTTACATCATTTGGCTTTAAAGTAATTATAAGAGCCAACAGTTCTTTTATCTGATGATCTGCAGGCCAGCATAAATAGAGATATTTCCAGGAGAATGACTGAGCTAAAGGACCTGTTCCCTTGGGAGCTGCTCTGAATGGAAGCAGAAGTCCTTGGGATGAGCTGGGAGATCCCAGCACGGAGGAGGATCCCAAAAGCTGGCAAGCAACAAGTTGGGCTCTTTGAATCAGCACCAGCCTCCCAGCCCAGCAGGATTTTGGCTGCTTGGGCTGTGCCTGTCTTTTCACCTCCCTGGGGAAGGTCAGGCAGCTGCAGAGGGGCAGAAACACATCTGGAGCCAGGAGTGAGCGTCACCTTTGTGGGCGTGACAGTCCCGGGGCTCTGTGTCCCCCAGAGCTCCTGCTCCAAGCACACTTTGCAGCTCTGCTGATTTTCTCCTGGTCTGCTTCCTCCAGCTGCTGGGCCTCTAAATAATTCAGAAGCAGTTCTATTAAAGAGCCATTAGGAGGAAAAAGAAAGAGAAAACCTCGTTAGGAGCAAGCCTGGGGTAATGAGATCTTGGACAAAGGCTGTGCTTGGCTGTCACAGCGTGTTAGGAGAACACCTGGCTGCATTCAGCTGGTGCTGCTGCTGAGACCAGGTGGAGGTCATCCAGATAAGCGTGAGGAGGTGCTGTCAGTGTTTAAATTTCATGTGATGCCTTTTGTAAACATATTTTTGGGCCGTCGTGGCTGGCAGTCGGCTGCAGGCAGTGAGCAAACACTCTGTGCTGGATTTATCAGTGACAGACTGCCCCGAGACTGGCAGCTGGGGCAGGGAATAAAAGAGGCTGGAGTCAAAATGGGATCACTCAGCTTCCTCACAGTCATTTTTCGAGCTGGTCAAGGTTTCAAGCAGCTGCTGGTGCCTGGTTTGATGCAATGCTGGTGCCTGGTTTGATGCAATGCCTGTGGGCAGAGCAGGTCTCCATCCCCTCTCTCACTGCTCAGATCTGCCTCTCCCTCTGAATCCCTGGGCTCAGCCTTCATCTCCAAAGGGCAGCAGAAAGGCACATCCATTCCTGATGGGACCATGCCTGGAAACTTGGTGCTGGTTCCTTTTTCTCAGCTGAGTCTTTAATTCCTTGATTTCCCACGGGCCTCACCCAGACAGACCCCTCAGGGATCCTGGAAGGGATCCTGTGGCTGGACCTGTTGGAATCTGAGCTATTGATGATCCCGAGATTGTAGAAAGTCTCTGTCTGTCAGCCCCGCTGCCAAAGCAGAAGCCAGAATTGGTCTGTGCTGGTTTCCAGGTTGTTTATTCTGTTTATCTCTCACATGTTCTGCTGCCCTGCCCAGCTCTGTCCTGCAGGGCAGCGTGTGGGGCTCTGCCCTCAGTGGGATGTGACAAACATTCAATACCAGAAACTCCCTGGGCTGCATTTACAAGAACATGCCAATATCTGTCACCTACGTTGGACAGTGTGTCCCCAGCCTGAACCAACAGAAAAATGCCAACACCACAGTGAGACATGGAGGGCATGAAGAAGGAGAAAAAGGACAAGGCACACCCAATTTCCTCCATCTTGTCCCCTTTGGACCCCTCATCTAGAATCCTAAAATTTTACTTTTGCACCCGTGCCACACTTAATTATTACTTATATCAAACTCTCAAAGCTGGTAATTGATCCTGTGAGATTGAAAACTCTTTTCCATGGACAGAGATCACAGCCAGTGTCTCTGGGGGCTCTGTCCAGGGGGGTTCTGACCCCTGCCAGGTCCCAGGGCAGCCAGAGGGAAGCCCTGGATTCCCACAGGACCCTGGCCATGAACCCTTTTGTTTTTCCAGCCCAGTGTGGAGGAACAGCAGAAGAGATGGAAGGAGTGCTCCTGAGCCCAGGCTTCCCAGGAAATTATCCCAGCAACCTGGACTGCACGTGGAGGATCCTGCTGCCAGTGGGGTTCGGTGAGAGAGCCGGGTCTGGGTTGGTGCTGTCACACAAGAGGGGGTGAAAATCCAGAGGATCCCTGACTGGGTTGGGTTGGGAAAAGCCTCGAGATCATCTCATTCCAGGGGAAACTGTCCCAGCCTGCTCCAAGCCTCATCCAGCCTGACCTGGGACACTCCCAGGGATCCAGGGGCAGCCACAGCTGCTCTGGGCACCCTGAGCCAGGGAGGAATTCCTTCCTGAACTCCACTCCAAAGCTCTTCTGTGCCAGTTTGAAGGCACTTTGTGTCCCCAGGGCAGTTAAAGTCCTGCTGAGTGCCCAGGCTGGGCTCTGTGGGTGGGCAGGGCTGGGCTTGGAGCTGGGCTTGGGGCTGGAACCAGGGTCAGAGCTGGGCTTGGAGCTGGGCTTGGGTTGGTGTTGGTGTTGGAACTGAGTTTAAAGCTGGGGTTGGGTTTGGTGCTGATCTTGGGGTTGGAGCTGCTGTTGGAGCTGGGATTGGTGCTGATTTTGGTGCTGCTGTTGGAACTGGGATTGGTGCTGATTTTGGGGTTGGAGCTGGGGTTGTTGATGACGTTGGGGTTGGAGCTGCTACTTGAGCTGGGGTTGGTGCTGATTTTGGGGTTGGTGCTGATGTTGGTGCTGCTGTTGCAGCTGGGGTTGGCATTGGGATTGGTGCTGGGGTTTGTGCTGATGTTGGGATTGGTGCTGATGTTGGAGCTGGGGTTGGTATTTGGATTGGTGCAGGGGTTGGTGCTGATTTTGGGATTGGTGCTGGGGCTGGTATTGGGGTTGGTGCTGATGTTGGAGCTGGGGTTGGGATTGGTGTTGGGGTTGATGCTGATGTTGGTGCTGATGTTGGAGCTGGGGTTGGAGCTGGGGTTGGTGCAGGGGTTGGTGCTGATGTTGGTGCTGGGGTTGGTGCTGCTGTTGGAGCTGGGGTTGGTGCAGGGGTTGGTGCTGATGTTGGAGCTGGGGTTGATGCTGATGTTGGTGCTGATGTTGGTGCTGGGGTTGGTGCTGATGTTGGTGCTGGGGTTGGTGCTGATGTTGGCGCTGATGTTGGTGCTGGGGTTGGTGCTGATGTTGGTGCTGCTGTTGGAACCAGTGCCGCTGCAAAATCCCAGCTGCCATTTTAGAGCCAAACTCCTCCTTCCCCCTCTCTCCAGGTGCCCACATCCAGTTCCTGAACTTCTCCACGGAGCCCAACCACGACTTTGTGGAGATCCGGAACGGGCCCTACGACACCAGCAGCGTCATCGGGCGCTTCAGCGGCGCCGAGCTGCCCGGCTCCCTCCTGTCCACCTCCCACGAAACCACGGTCTACTTCCACAGCGACCACTCCCAGAACAAACCCGGCTTCAAGCTGGAGTACCAAGGTGAGCAGGGACAGTCCTGCCCCTCGGGGGTGCTGGCTCTCGAGTTAATTCTGTGGTTGTTGAGTTAATTCCATGAGGGTTTAATCCAAATGAGTGGAAAGGTGTTACAGCAAGGCCGTGCTTAATCCTGATAACTGTTCCCCCTCAAGGGCAAGGAACAAATGTTCCCAGGGTGCCCTGTGACACTGAAATGCTTTGGAATTTGTTCCAGTCAGGTTCACGTCAAGCTTGGCTTGTGGGCAAGGGGAAGAGCCCTCAGAGTTTGCTTTGGAATGTTGGAGCTGCTTTTCCCTCTCAGCTGAAGTCCAGGCACGTCCTGAGCTCAGCCTGCTGCAGGGTTGGGTAAATAATGAAGCAGCCAAACAATAGCACAGGGCTGGCTTGGAGAGCTGGGGTGAAAGGAGTTGTTAAAATAAAGTTTTAATCCTCATTTTTGGGGGTGATGGGGGATGAAGGTGTGTTTTCCCCAGCTGGAATCCTCAGGCATCTCCCCTGTTTTGAACATGGATTTTTAGCCCTCAGCTCTGCCTTCTCATCTTTGGAAACCTTTTGGTCTTCCCTGCCCTCTGTGCTGAGCATGTGGGAATTCAAAGGGTGAAAGGAGAGAAAGAAGTTGTTGAAATGAAGAGATGCCCTCAGTTTTGGGGGTAATGGGCAATGGAGGTGCTTTTTCCCCAGCTGGAGTCCTTGGGCAGCTCTCCTCATTTGAACATGAATTTTTGGCTCTGCTTGACCCCCAGCTCTGCCTCCACAAATGTCCATGAAAACCTTTTGGTTTTCAGGAAAACCCCTGGGCACGTGGGAATTGAAAGGGGCAAAGGATGCCAAGGGCAGCTCATGGATTTCACCCTGAACAAAATCAGGAAGCAACTGGGAGCTGAGATCCAAGGAGTGGGAAGGAGGGAATGTGTCCCTCCAGCCCCGGGAGCAGCAGGAAAAGACTCTGCTCCATTAATGAAAGCATTAACTTGGTCCTGCCTGTCTTGTTGGTGCCTGGGGTGATTCATGGGCTGCTGCAGCCAGGGACGGGCGAGGTTTTCTGGGAATTCTCCTGGAAATTGCTATGGAAATGAGCTCCGGCCAGGCTGGCCACTCCTTGAGGATGCCAGGTGGAACATGGTCACTGATTGACCCCCACCCCTCATCAGGGCTGGCCACTTTGGGCTGGAAAATGAGGCAGATTTCCCAGTTGGAAGTGACTCTGGATTCCGAGGCAGTGGGATGGGGAGCTCCCCTCAGCCTCCAGGCACGTCCATCAAGGATTATTTCCTTCAATTAAGTTTCTGTATGAGGAGGAAGGAGCCAAGCACATGTGGGTGAATGGAATCCCAGGATCACTGAGGCTGGAAAAGCCCTCCAAGGTCCCAGAGCCCAACCTGTGTGAGAAATGGATATGTAAAGAATTCTCAAAACTTGATAGAAAGCTTACATCTGTGTGCAAACACTGAGATAAGGTGTGCACACTTAGCTGTGGAATGGAGATGACATTGCTGAGAGAGAGATTGAACTGGAAACAACCTTTAATAAGTTTTAAAATATGGTCTTATAAAAAGAGTAGATATTTTAGAGAATTAGAACGATGAAAGATGCATCTCTTGTGTCTCACTATTCATCGGGACTGATAATGGAACAAAATCTTTTAAAATGCCTCTCAGCTGCCCTGTCTCTGTAAAAGCTGGGAAAACCAGCAGCTGTGCTCTCCCTGAGTGCCACATCCAGCCTTTCCTTGGACACTTCAGGAATGGGGACTCCAAACCTCCCTGGGCAGTTCCAATTCCTGATTTTACACCCAAAGTGGAGTTGGAGCGTGGGAGAGCACAGAATCCCAGGATTATTGAGGGTGCAAAAGCCCTCCAAGCCCATCCAGTGCAATCTGTGCCCGATCCCCACCTTGCCACTGAGTGCCACCTGTGCCAGGCACGTTCTTCTCTCTCTCAGGATTTTTTTCATAGAGGAGCACAGAGAGAAGAAAGAAAAAACAATTTCTGTTTCTCCTCCTTATTTTTCCCATGTGGAATGTGTTTGGAGAATTGTTTGATTGGATTTTGGTGAGGATTGTTTGAGCCTGATGGCCAGTCCAACTCATCTGTGTCTGGACAGCGAGAGGCTCACGAGTTGTGAGTTAGTTAGATGTGGTAGTTAGAAAAAGTCGGTTTGTAGTTTTAGTATCTCCTTCAAAAAGTATATTAATGCATTATAAAATGCATTAGTTATAATAAAGAGTTATAATAAATAGTTATATAATAAGAGTTATAATAAAGTAGTTATAATAAAGAAATCATTCAGCCTTCTGAACTGGAGTCAGACATCAGCATTTCCTCCCACCGGGTTCACCTGAATTTCCAGCAGCCACCTCCAGCCCTTCCTTGGACACCTCCAGAGATGGAGACTCCGACCCTCCCCGAGCACCCCCTTCCAACCTTCTCCATGGACAGATTCCTCCTGAAATCCATCCTGCCCTTCCCCTGGCACAGCTGGAGACCATTTCTCCTTACCCTCTCCCCTTTTCCCCGGGCGATGAACCCCAAACCCTTCCACCCTGTGCTTTTCCAGCCTACGAGCTGCAGGAATGCCCCGACCCGGAGCCTTTTGCCAACGGGGTGGTGAGAGGAGCTGGCTACAACGTCGGCCAGTCCATCTCCTTCGAGTGCCTGCCTGGCTACCAGCTGATCGGCCACCCCGTGCTGACGTGCCAGCACGGCACCAACAGGAACTGGGACCACCCCCTGCCCAGGTGTGAAGGTATGGCCTGGCCTCACCTGCCCACCCGGGGCTGCATTTGCTCCGGCGTGCCTGGGAATGTGCTCTTGGAGTGAAATTTGCCCTCCTGGAGGTGTTTTTGGTGAATGTTTGGGGCGTTTTGGGGCAGCTGCTGAGGGGGGTTTGAGGCGTGGGATGCGGGTGAGGAGAATCTGTCTCCCTGTTGGAGATTTCTGTGTGATGCAATCCTTGGAGTGATAATTCCTGGCTGCTTTATTCCCTTCATCAACATCCAGGTTCCGTTGATTTGATCAATTTTGATGATTTCTGATAAATTGATAAATTCTGATAAATCAAAATAGTCGCTGGTAAAAGAGCCTGGCAGCTCTGAGGGCTCCGTGTGTGTCCCTGTCTGTCTCCTCCATGGGCATCTCCAAAATGATCCAGGTGGGAGATCCTCAGGAATCTTCCAAGGTGGTTTTTTCTCCTGAAAACTGTGCTCAGAGAACTCTGCAGGCTGAAGATTTCCATTCCAGGCATCCAAACTCACCCAGATTCTCTTTTCCAACCCTCTCGTGGCTGTGTCAGCCTCTCACCCCTCGGGCTGGTGGCCGGAATTCTGTGGGATTTACTTCCAGAAGGGTTTCAGATGAACCTTTAAGAAGTTCAGATGTGCTTATTGAAGATTTCCCAGGAGCACTGACCTTTATCCCAGCACAGGCTCTGCAGGAGCCGTGGAAGGAGGGCGAGGGGTGATATTTGATATTTGCCCTCTTGTAAGTCCTTGAACCCCAGAGAGAACGAAGAGCTGAATCCTCAGCTGCTCTTTCAGTGCTTGGAGCAGAGAGGAATTGTTTGAGGCAAGTTAGGCCAAGATCTGGATTTTCCTGTATCCAGAATTGTTAACCTTTGTATCAAAGAAAAAAAAAAAAAAAAAAAAAAATTTAAAAAAAAAAAAAAAAAAAAAAAAAAACAAAACAAACAAACAAACAAAAAAAAAATGAATAAAAAAAAGGGATATAAGGATGTTTAAAGGGATATTTTCCTGACTGGGTTTGTGTTTCTCTCTGCTCCCCTGCAGTGCCTTGTGGGGGCAATGTCACTGCCCAGAATGGGACAATTTACTCTCCTGGCTTCCCCAACCAGTACCCAAATTCCCAGGATTGCACCTGGCTCCTGACAGTGCCCGTGGGCTATGGGATCCACCTGAATTTCACCCTGCTGCAGACAGAGCCCTACAACGACTTCATCACCGTCTGGTGGGTGCAGAGCCACTCCAAGGACTCATTTTGGGAAATACTCCTGGCTCCGAAATAGCAGCAGCTGGGAATGGGATCCCCTTTGCAGGATGGCAGCTTCCTGATGTTTTGGAGAAGAGAAATTAAAACATTTTTTAGCTTTATTTTGAGATGAATATAATAAAAATAATTATATATATAATAATAATATATATATGAAATATATATATATATACTAATAAATAAATGTCAAATAAAAATATTATCTATGCATAATAATGGACATTATCATCTTCAGGCAGCCAGGGGAGTTCTGATTAAAGAGTTTGTGACCAAATTTTGAGCTTGTAGCACTCCAAGTCTGACCTTCAGAATATCCCCGTGTCTGCTGGGCAAACAGGGAGTGAAATTCCCATGGGAAACAGCTCCTAAAGCCTCCATTTCTGAGGTTAAAAGTGAAATTTGCCTTTCTGATTGTCAGCTGGGAGCCAGGAGAGGCCGTAGAGGATAAAGTGCAGCGGGCGGGGGTCAGAAACGTGGATGTGGGGAAGGGAGGATAAAGGAGAGGAGGAGGTCAGGTTCCTCCGCTTAAATCCTTGGAAAAATCTCATTTTTCCTTGTGTTCCTGCCATCAGGGATGGGCCCCAGCAAACCTCCCCTCAGCTGGGGGTGTTCACAGGCAACTCGGCCAAGAAATCTGCCCAGAGCTCCTCCAACCAGGTCCTGCTGAAGTTCCACAGCGACGCCGCCAACGGAGGCATCTTCGCCATCTACTTCTACGGTGGGCGCTGCTGCACTCAGTGCTGGGAATACTGGGAATACTGGGAATGCTTCTGGGAAAATGCCAAAAAATAACCCAATAACCCCAAGTTTTCCGCTGAGCTTTTCAGGCCCAGTTTTTTTTAAGTTTTTGAGCTCTGTTGTTTTTTTTTTTTTTTTAATTAAGTTTTTTCAGGCCAGGCTTCTCCAGGAAGTTTTTCAGCTCAGTTTTTTAACACGAAGTTTATCAAACTAGGTTTTTTTCCCAGAAAGTTTTTCAAACCAGTTTTTCCACGATGTTTTTCGGTTCAGTTTTTTTCCCAGAAAGTTTTTCAAACCAGTTTTTCCAGGATGTTTTTCAGCCCAGATTTTTAACATGAAGTTTATCAAACTAGGTTTTTTCCCAGAAAGTTTTTCAGCCCAGTTTTTTTAAATTAAGTTTTTGAACTCAGGTTTTTGGATTTTTTTAATTACGTTTTTTCAGGCCAGGCTTTCCAGGAAGTTTTTCAGCTCAGTTTTTTAACACAAAGTTTATCAAACTAGGTTTTTCTTTCCAGGATGTTTTTCAGTTCAGTTTTTTTCCCAGGAAGTTTTTCAAACCAGTTTTTCCAGGAAGTTTTTCAGTTCAGTTTTTTTCCCCCAGGAATTTCCTGGTGGAGAAGGGGGAATTTTCTGGTGGGGAGGGAGGAATTTCCTGGTGGAGAGGGAGGAAATTCCTGGTGGGGAGGGAGGAATTTCCTTGTGGAGACGGAGGAATTTCCTGGTGGAGAGGGAGGAATTTCCTGGTGGAGAGAGGAAAATTTCCTTGAGGACAAGGAGGAATTTCCTGGTGGGGAGGGGGGAATTTCCTGGTGGAGAAGGAGGAATTTCCTTGTGGAGAAGGAGGAATTTCCTGGTGAAGAGGGAGGATTTTCCTGGTGGAGAGGGAGGAATTTTCCCTGATTCCATCGTGGCTGCTCTTCCCTTGCTTTCCAGCTTTCCAGCTTTTCCGCTGCCAGCCTCCCACCATGGTTCCCAACGCCGAGATCATCACGGAGAACGAGGAGTTCAACATCGGTAAAACCTTCCCTCGTCCTCCTCATCCTCATTCCCACCTCTCCACCTCCTGGGAATGCTTTTTTCCCTCCCCAAATCCTGGCTTTCCAAGAAGGTTTTTCCAAAGGAGCTCAACGCCAAATGCAGCATCCACGTGTTCCCGTTGTTCCCAGCCTTTTTCTCCCCGGAAAAATGTTTTTTGAGGAGAGATTTGAGTCTCTTTGCAATCTCTCAGGAAACTTTGGGAATAATAATATTTCTCAGGTGTTGCACACGAAGATTTGGAGCTTTTATTCTGCTTTTTGGGGATCTTTCAGGAGTTTTTTGTGATTTTTTTTGTCATCCACATTTGGAAGTGGCTCTAGCCAGGATTTTTTTTCGGAGCATCTTCTCACCCTGGCTGCTCACTTTGAGGGGAGTCTGCACCTGGAGTAATTTCCCAAATCTGATGTGGTGACAGGGGTTTATCCCGGAGTAACTCCAGCATGGCTTTCCTAGCCTTTTATTTCTGATTTACACCTTCTGTCCCTGCATTTCTCCCTTTTATTCCTGTATTTACCCTTTTTTTCTGCACCTATGCCTTTTATTTCTGAATTTACGCCTTCTATTCCAATATTTCCCCCTTTTATCCCGGCATTTCCCTTTTTACCCTTGCATTTCACTTTTATCCCTCTGTTTCCCCCTTTATCCCTCTATTTCCCCCTTTTATTCCTGCATTTTCCCTTTTTATCCCTCTATTTCCACTTTTTTCCCTGCATTCCCCTTTTTATCCCTCTATTTCCCTTTATCTCTGCAATTCCCCCTTTTATCGCTGCATTTCCCCCTTTTATCCCTCTTTTTCCCTTTTATCCCTGCATTTCCCATTTTATCCCTCCATTTCTCCCTTTATCCCTTCATTCCTCCTTTTATTCCTGCATTTCCCCCTTTTATTCTCCTATTTCCCCCTTTTATCCCCCTGTTTCCCCTTTTATCCCTCTATTTCCCCCCTTACCTCTGCAATCCCCCATTTTATCCCTCTACTCCACCTTTTATCCCATAATTTCTCCCTTTTTTTTTGTGCATTTCCCCTCCCATCCCTGTTTTCCATCCCTTCCCAGGTGACATCGTCAGGTACCGCTGCCTCCCCGGCTTCACCCTGATTGGGAACGAAATCCTCACCTGCAAACTGGGCACCCACCTGCAGTTTGAGGGACCCCCACCCACCTGTGAAGGTAAAGCTCCCACAAATCCCAGATTTCCCAGCTCTGGGGGAGGATTTTTGGCACATTTTTCATCCTTGGGGTTAATTTTCCCATCGGCAGGAGTGTGGGGTTTTGGGAGGAGGGAGTGAGATCCCCCTGAGCAGGAATTGGAGTTCTCATATGCCAGTTAACAATTCCATGGGATGAGCTGTGCCTCCTGCTTTTCTTCTACCAAAGTTTCCAGGGATTCTTGGATTTTGTGCCTCTGGAATGTTCTGGTTGTGGTGCTGCTCGTTTTGGGAGAGGTGCGAGCTGAGGCCAAGGCAGTGGGAATGGTTTGTTGGTTTTGTTGCTTTTTGCTCCTTTCTTCAAGTGTGACAATTGCTGGGATTTGTGGGATTTTAGGATTCTTTGGTTTGTTGGTTTTGTTGCTTTTTGCTCCTTTCTTCAGGTGTGACAATTGTTGGGATTTGTGGGATTTTAGGATTCTTTGGTTTGTTGGTTTTGTTGCTTTTTGCTCCTTTCTTCAGTTGTGACAATTGTTGGGATTTGTGGGATTTTAGGATTCTTTGAGCCCCAGGGATTGAGGAGTGCAGGGGTCATGCTCTGCCTGGAGCTGCCTCATCAGGACAGACCTCGTGCTTCCATCCTTCCTCTGGAAAACCAGGAATGTTCATTTCCATTGCCAGTGCACTGCCCCATGAACCAGCTGATGACGGATTCCACGGGGGTGATCCTGAGCCAGAGCTTCCTGGGAAGTTACCCCCACTTCCAGACCTGCTCCTGGGTGGTGAAGGTGGAGCCGGGCTACAACATCTCCCTCACCATCGAGTACTTCCTCAGCGAGAAGCAGTTTGATGAGTTTGAAATCTTTGATGGTAAGAGATTCACCCCTCTGACCTGCCTTCCACCCCAAACCTTCCTGGGGTTCCATAATCCCGCGGCAGCCATGAGGGAAGGAGCGTTCCAGGGCGTGTCCCACCTGGAACCTCCTGCTGGCCTTCCAGAATGCTCCTCGCTGGTTCCTTGCATAAGGAAATAGCTGCAATTGGATTTTTTGGGGTGGATCTGAAGGATTTTTCCAAGGGGCAAGAGTTGGGAAACTTGGGAGAGGGATGGCAGCAGAGATTCCTGCAGAGGATGAGTTGGGAAAGTGGGAATTCTCATCCCTGAAGGCCACAAGGAGCAGATTTCTCCAGCCCCAGAGTTCTTGGGAATGGGGAGGGGATTCTCAGGATAAACAGTGCAGACCATGAGGACCTGAGCTCCTGCCTGGAGCAAGTCCTGCTTTTCCTGGGATCAGCTTTTTCCCAGGAGCAGGATGTGAGGCCTGGAACTCCACAGGGAGCTGCTTTCCTCTGGGAAACTCAGGGAAATCTCCCTGTGCTCGTCCTCCTGCCAGGACTCCAGTGGCCCCATTGACTTTTCCCTTTTCCTTTGAAACGTAAATTTTAAGGAATTTAGAGATTTTAGAGGAGCTAAGATTTTAGTTAGAGATAAGCCTTACTAGAGTTAATTAAAATAAATGAGTAGGCCTTGATGAAGTTAAGAGTGAGTAGTTAACTAATAACTGATTGCTTGTCAGCACAATGTTTAGTTAGCTGGGTTTATAATGAAGAATACAAATTGACAAAGAGCTTTTAAAACATGAGACAATTGTGGCCTCCTCTGTTCTGAAACCAACTGAAGACAAGGAATGGGAGTTCTACCAAGAGTTCATTTGTCAGATTGGCATTGAAAAGGCAGAAAGGTCAGAAGGAGGAAGACTTCATTGACTTCCTCATTTTGGGACCCCTCCCCATGAAAGGGACACCGACCCATTTCAAGGAACAAACTACCCATGCTTAATAGATTTTGAAATTATTAGCTTACGAAATGAGGAAGGGGATGTACCAAAATGATGAATATGCATTTGTATTTTGGTTATTCAATACTTGTATGGATAAAAAGACTCTGTGATCACCTGGAAGCCACGGTGTGGATTTGGGAGTGATCCCACACACAATAAACACACACTTTGTGGCTTTAAACTGTTAGAGAGATTTTGTCTGTCACAGTTGGGTATTGCTACTAGATCAATATCCATATTTCTTTAATAATTCAAAAATTGTAGCTTTGTAAACACACACTTTCTAACTTCAAACTGTTAGAGAGTTTTTGTCCGTCACAGTTGGATATCGGTACTAGATCAATGTTTTTTTTAATAAATCACCCTGTCCCCTCTTCCTGGCAGGTCCCTCTGGGCAGAGCCCCCTGCTGCTGTCCCTGAGTGGGAATTACTCGGCCCCTCTGACGGTCACCAGCAGCGGGAACAGCGTTTTCCTGCGCTGGTCCTCCGACCACGCCTACAACAGGAAAGGCTTCAAAATCCGCTACTCCGGTGAGTCCCAGCTGCCCCTGCCAGGAGCAGCTCCACAGCCAGGAGAACCCATGGAATTCCTGAGGAGATCCAGCTGCCAGGGCAGGAGCTGCCAAGGCAGGGAAGGCACAAGGCGGGGCACGTTCTGAGCTTGGGAAAGGCAGGGTCTGTCCAGGAGAAACCTGGACCAGGATTGTGGGATCACAGTCAGGACCAGGATTGCGGGATCACAATCAGGACCAGGATTGTGGGATCACAATCAGGACCAGGATTGTGGGATCACAGTCAGGACCAGGATTGCGGGATCACAATCAGGAGAAATTCCAGGGAGAAACCTTGGAGCTTTGGCTCATTTCCCAACCACTCTTCAGAACTGAAGCCTGATGTGGAGAGTCATTGATGCAGGGACTGGATATTGGGAAAGGTTTCTGGATGAGGCAGTGAAAAAGTCTATCCAGACTTTGCTCAGCAAATGAACGAAGGAATATTTAATTATCAGGAATGACTCCTTATTCCTGGAACTGGAGGCTCAGAGCCTCGCGCTCCTTTCCTGCTTCGACTCCGCGTTCATCCATCACCAATTTTTGGTTTGGGGTTTTTTTTGGGGAAGCTCAGTGCAATTCCTGGGGGTGGGAAGGGAATGACCCTGCTGCTGCTCATCCTGTGACGGGTTTGCTTTTCCCTCCTTGGCAGCTCCCTACTGCAGCCTCCCGCAGCCCCCGGCGCACGGGATGATCCTGAGCCACTCCGGGCTGCGCCCCGGCAGCTCCGTGCGCTTCGGCTGCGACGCCGGCTACCGCCTGGTGGGACACAGCACCACCACCTGCAGCCAGCACCCCCAGGGCCACTTCCACTGGAGGGAAGCCACCCCGCTGTGCCAAGGTGAGAGCAGGGACGGGTTGGGGCGTTCCAGCGCGCTCGGGCTGTGCCTGTCCCCATCCCCCGGTGTGAGAACCCCGGGCTTGGTTTGGGGTCTCGTGTGGTGGTGAAGTCTCTCCTCCAACCCGTGTTCCCAAAGAAAAACCCCGCAGTCTCTTGTTCAGTCTCAAGGCAATTTATTGCTAATTATCTAACAGATTGTGTTCTCGGGCTGTGGCTGTTTGATCAGCAGCCCAGGCAGGGATGCACACACTCCTGACACCCTGACTGTCCAGTGTCTTCTTCTCCTCTCTCCCCACCCAGGGCTGCTGCTATTTTTATAAGATATATTACGTATAACATGTTTACAGTTATTCCCCAATACCTACTACCTATATTACAAAGAGCTTTTCTACTCTAAACCAATCTGTGAGTGCCAACAACACCAAGAACATGGAGGTAAGGAAGAAGAAGGAGGAAGAACAGGATCAGCCCACTTTCCTCCATCTTAGAACTTCTGACCCCCATGTACAAAGTAAACCCCCCCCCTGTACAGGTGCTAAAACCCCCCTGTACAATACTAGAAAAATTTCCCCTCTGTTTTGTAACTACTTTTACTATCCCATCTAACCCTTTGTGACTGCTTGTTCCACCTCCAAAGTTGGTAACTCATTCCATGGCTCAAACTCAAAATCACAGCTGCTTCCAGCTGCCTGACGGGGTCTAAAATGCTTCTGACCAAGGCCTGGAACCTCCAAAAATGCCTGAGGGACATTTTGAGTTCCCACACCCGGGACCCCTGTGACTCTGATCAAGATAAGCCTGGTCCCCTCCTTCCTGCCCCAGAGCCAGAGAAGCCCTCCCTGTCCAGAGCCTGGATGAGGCCATGACCCTTCCTGTTCCTTCTCTTTCCCCTCTTTCCTCATTGCTCTCCACAGCTCCTGAAGGGAGGCTGCAGACAGGTGGGGTCAATCTCTTCTACCTGCAGCACCAACAGAACAAGAGGACACAGCCTCAGCTACATCAGGGAAGGTTTAGGTTGGATATTAGGAAAAAATTTTCACTGAAAGAATAATAAAATACTGGAATTGTCTTCCTAGGGTGGTGGTGGAATCACCATCTCTGGATGTGTTTAAAAAAAGACTGGACTGGGCACTTGGTGCTATGGTCTGGTTGTGGTGTTAAGGCACAGGTTGGACTTGATGATCTTGGAGGTCTCTTCCAACCTCATTATTCTGTGATTCTGTGATTTCCCCTGAACCTCATGGAATAAAGAGCTGGACAACTACATGGGGGTGAGAGCCTCTTTTGGAATCTTTGCCCATCTCCTGATGTTCCTCCCGTCAAGACCTCAAATCTCTGGGCTAGCCTGATAGTTCAGAGGGAGAAATGTCATTGGGATCGAGTGCCGGGAGTTCCTGAAAAAGCAGAAAAAAAAACAAGATTGGAATTTGGTAATTCTGTGTTGAGAACAGGCTGGGAGCGCTGAGGGGTGATCCTCGTCTCCAAGGCTTTAGGAATAGATGGCAAAGAGGGAAGGGAATGACTGGGAGCTGGAAAAGGTTGGATTTTCCAGGTGCCCTCTTTTCCCTGGGAGAGCCATTGGTATTCAGCCTGGCAGCCTGTCTAGACACCAGCACCTGGAGAGGGATTGGCCAGCGCTGAGCTCGCCGCAGTGGCACTCCTGTCACCATCAGTGCCACCAGGGACGGGGCTGATCCTGCCTCTGGAGCTGCTGACACCTCTCGGAATTCCAGCAGCTGCCAGCTGCCCTGGGATCCTGCTCCATGCTGCGGCAGGAGCGGGATAAAAGCTGGGCCTTGCACAGGGAGAGAGCCAGGGCTGTGCTGCTGCTGCTGCTTCACGTGCAAAGTTTGGGCTCTCCAGCTCTCACTGGGCTCCGTGGCACCAAAAAGTGACTTTTCCTGCTTTTCCACCCCTGTTTTTGTGCACAGGGACCACTGGAAAGGCAAATGAGTTGGAGTGGCTCAGGAGAAGAGTCTGGGAGCTGAGCTGGGGCTGCTCCAGGAGGGAATGGGTTTGTCTGGAAGCACAGGCAGATATTGGGATCAGGGGTTAGGGCTGTGTCTCCTGGCAGTTTCTGCAGGAAATTCCCAGTGGAGCTTCCCAGGTGCAGGCTGCTCTTCCCTTGGGCATCCCACCCTGTCCAGACAGGAGGGATGTGGATCTCCCTCTTTCCCAGAGCCAGGCTTGGAGAGGGATGGGGACCTCAAGGTGGGTTTGGAGGGAAATTTGGATTTGCTTTCGCTCCTCCTCCTCATGCTGCTGGAGAAGAAGATCTGGGGACATTTCCCAGCGCTGGCAGGGTTGGAAAAAAGGGTAACAGCATAAATAACTATGATTCTTGGTGTATTTTTGGCTGTCACCTGCCTGTCCCCTCCCTGCCCTGCCCCGAGGCCGGGATTCCAGCAGGAATGCTGCAGAGCCTCCCCTGCGGAGCGCTGCCTGGCACCAAGCCTGCTTTTCCATTTTTCCCCTGAATTCCCCCCCTCCACCTCCTCAGCCACGAAGCTAAATTGAGCCTCCCTTCTGCCACAACAGAATTCCACAATTTTCTGCCTTTACAGCTTCCTGAAGGGAGGCTGCAGACAGGTGGGGTCAATCTCTTCCACCAGGCAGAACAAGAGGACACAGCCTCAGCTACATCAGCGAAGGTTTAGGTTGGAGATTAGGAAAAAAAATTTCACTAAAAGAATAATAAAATACTGGAATTTTCTTCCTAGGGAGGTGGTGGAATCACCATCTCTGGATATGTTTAAAAAAAGACTGGACTTGGCACTTGGTGCTATGGTCTGGTTGTGGTGTCGGGGCACGGGTTGGACTTGATGGTCTTGGAGGTCTCTTCCAACCTCATTATTCCATGATTCCGTGGTTCTGGGATTCTGTGCAATGCAGAAGTGCTCCTGGAGAGGGGTTTGGGGTCGGTGCTGCTGTGGGGTGTGAGCAGGAGCGTTCCCGCTATCGGATCCTTTATCTCCACATGGAAACTGCTGCTGCATCCTGTGGGACAGAAGTGCTGGGAATTGTGAGCCAGAGCCTCTTCCAGGAGAAACTGGGGTTCAGGGATAGTTTGCTGTTGCAAAAGCTGACCCTTTATGAAGGGTGGGCACTCCCCACAGTGTCTGTAGGAAAGTTCAGGATCTGGGATTTCAGTTTGGGATAAAGCCATCAGCTCCCTGATTTTTATTTAATTTTTTTTTTTTTGAGGTGTGTTTTCTTGATGCTGTTGAGCCAGGGAGAGGCGAAATGACTCGTACGATTTCAGAAGACAAATGAGCAGTTATTCAAAAGCACTTCTCTCTTTTATAGAGAACATCATGACTATTAATTAATCACATTGGTCTTAAAGTAAAAACATTTCACCTGATTGGTACACTGGACTTGAGTCAGTGTGGTAGAACATATTTATAAATAATATGAACAGATAACAAGATAATAGATTGTTACATTCCTCTCAGACTTTTTGGTAGAAATTGTGGGTCTCAGATTCAGTCAACAAGAGAAACTGAGAGTTTCTAACCAGGCAGAGGCCTGGGAATCTGTTGGAAAATAATGTAAATTAGAGTTTTATCTCCTTGTTGTTCATATTTTTCATAGTCAGATTCAGTCAAAGAGAGAAACTGAGAGTTTCTAACCAGGCAGAAGCCTGGGAATCTGTTGGAAAATAATGTAAATTAGAGTTTTATCTCCTTGTTGTTTATATTTTTATAATTAAGTTCTATCTCTGTGCATCAAGCACTCTGCACCAATGCTATGCGTTGTTTTCACTTCAGGATAAATGGAGTTGCACGAAGCTCTGTATAAAGGGAAGTGGATTTTGAATAAAATTGGAGTTTTACTCTCAGCAGAGTCTCTTCATTCCCGTCCTGCCTCGACAGCTTCGAGAAATCTTTCTCCTTTTCTCTCTGGCTGAGCTGAGAATACCCACGTTTTCTCTTGGCAGCTCTCTCCTGTGGGGTTCCCAAAGCTCCAAGGAACGGGGTTGTTTTTGGGAAGGAGTACACGGTGGGCACCAAGGCCGTGTACCAGTGCAACCAGGGCTTCCAGCTGCAGCCGGGCGCCCAGCCCAGCGCCGAGTGCCTGCAGGACGGCGTCTGGAGCAACGGGGACCAGCCCCCTCTGTGCCTGGGTGAGTGTGCCCCGAGTTTTGAAAGTGGGTTTTTTCCTAGTTCTGTTGAAAGTTTTAAAGTTCTCATGAAACTTCTTCAGCCTCCTGTGAAAAACGCAGATTTATGATCGGCTTTTCGCAGGTGTTACAATGAATGTTATAGGTGTGATGTTAGAAAGTTGTGCTGTGTTAATTCTCTTAAGTAGTGTGGTAAATATAGTTTTAGGTTACAACATAATGTTAAAATAGAGACTATGTATGTGGCAGAAGTTTCTTTTTAGGAATGAGATACTCACTTTGAGGAACACCTAAATCTTCCAAAGAAAAGGAATTTATGGCTTCTTATCAGAAAAAACTAATTTCTTCAGGCCTTGCTCAGACTCACGGGGATTAAAGGAACAGTTGACATACAACAAACAGAATTTCTTGTTTTAAATAAAATATATGCATAAACATGAAGGATATATAAATATGCAACAAGTGTATTGGTTTAAGGGTGATTCCTTTGCTCACAAGGGATGCTTTTTGTGACTCAGTGTCCAAGAGCATCTGGACATCCATAATTCTTTGCTTTTTATTGTCTTATAATTGTCCTAACTCTAAACTTTATTACTCTAATTGTATTGTTATTATATTTATAACCATTTTTTTATTATTAAAATTTAAAAAAATTTAAAACCAAGTGATTGGCGTTTTTCACACTTCTGAAAATGTTTATGTATTTGAGAGTCAGAGTTCCCACACAATTTCGTGGATAAATAGAATATTTACATATTTCTCTGTGGGTGGAGAGAAATGATTGATGGGTCTTTGGAGCAGTGTGGTTGGAGAGGTGGTAATTCCATCCTCCCATCCATGGTCACCTTTGGAATTCTAGAAATACCAGATGTTTGAATAAAACTGGCTCTTTCTTCTGAACTCACCGAGCTCCTGTGTACTCACAGGTGAGTGGGGATTTGGGCTGCCCAGCCAGCAGTGATGCCTTTTGGGGCTGCCTAAAAACACAGGCCAGACAAAATGACAAAGAAAAAAAACAATTATATTTATTGAATGGCCTTCAGGGGCGTTTAGGGCAGACAAAACCCCTCTTCAAGGGGCTGCACCCAAAATGGACGATGGGCCACAGGTTTTCACACTTTTATACGTTTGGGCCATTTGCATATTGAGGGTTCATCTTCTAATTACAGCTTCAGGTAACAAATTGACCCCAAGTTTTCTCCCCCCTAACCCACTTTTGTTCACATTTCTCAGAGCCTGAGGCAGTGAGGTGTCCTTGATTCCCATTTTATGATTTTAACACCATTGCAAGGGGTTTTTCTCTTTGGGTTTCAGGCAACATCACCACTTCCAACATCATCCACCAAGTTTTCCTTTCAGTTCTCAACCGCAGCCCCACCAGGGGATGCACCCCTCATTGAAAACCCACCACACCTGGATTTTTTGGGGGGTCGAAACCTCACTTAACTGTTGCTGTTGGACACAAAATTAGTACACAGGAGTTTGTAAGTTTAAAAGAGAAAAAAGAGCCAATTTTATTTCTGACCTCACAATATACAGGATTCCAAAAGTGCCAGTGGATTGGAGG